GAAGTCATCCATTACAAGTCCATTAGAAGCAGATTACAATAAGACGATAGCAAGACAAACATCCATCATTTAGGAAGAGACGAGGAAGTTGAGGCACCATCCGCAGCATCATCCCCTTGAGGAGGTGTATACTGAATCTCAGTAAAACTAGGACCGAAAGGAGTCACATGAAATACCATGTCTCCTTCCTTTTTGAACATGAGAATGTCACCGATGCAAAGGGAGTGTGCTTGGGCGAAGGCTTCCCAACCATTGGTGAGTCTTCTTCCTTCTTGTATAACTTCCCAAGTTTGGTGTGAAGCGTCCGATCGTAGTGTCCATTTTCCTTGGTTCGGCGTGCCTTCTATGTGTTTTGCGTAGAAGGCAAGTGGTATTGTCTACAAGTCAACAAAGGAGAACATAAGCAAAGGAAATAAACAGAGGAGAAATAGAGAGCGTGTGTATACCACACCACTGTAGAAACCAGGAAGCAGAGGCTTTAAGAAGTGAGGTTCATGCTGATTCGCCATCTGCAAACAAGAAACGAATTGGAAACATTTTAATTCTAAGTCGTCTGGGTCGTCCACCTGGTAGACTTATAATTAAGTCGTCTGGAAAGTCTTCCAGGTGGAAGACTTTCCAGACGACTTAATTATAAGTCTATCAAGACTTCCAGTAGAACTTCCAGGTGGACGACCCTAAAACGACCATAAAGTGAGAGGAAAACAACATCCAACCTAACTAAACAACAAGTCGATTGAAATCCCCAATTTTTGAAACCCTAATTTGAAACCAAAATTACTCCAAATCGTTGAAAACACAAAACCAAACGGTAAAAGTTAAGGAAAACAACATCCATCCTAATAAAAACCCATAAATCTGCAAGAGAAGCCTTCGATTTACATTGGTCTTGTATCAGATCGAAATCGCCTCGAAATCACCTTTGAGAGAAATGGCGTTAGGGTTTTCTGAATTTCGCGAAAAGTGCGTAAAAAAAAAAAAATTTCTTATATATGTCCGGTCAAAAATCTGGTTAGGTTTAAAAGTAATTTGGTAAAATCCGGTTTGGACGACTTATTATTAAGTCGTCTGTTGATACTATACATCCGACTAAGTTGTGTGCCTTATTAAATATATTTACCAGACGACTTATTTATAACTCGTCCAGACCCTAAACCCTAAACTAAATTGACTAAATTAACTAATAACCATGTTATAAAATCAAATTATACTTAAATATTGTTTACTATACACATAAATAAACATACTTAGGTAAATTTTAAAGTTTTCAAAAAAACATTTATGCTTTCGAAATTGTAACCCTAAGAAACACATGCAATACTACAACATATGTTGGTGAAACCTAAACTAAAGAATATCATCACTCACTACTTTCACTAATCTATGCTGAAAACAACTGACCTTTTTTATATCTTAATTTATATCGCTTAAGACATATGTTAATTACAGAATTTCAATTTTTCATTTATCAAGATATTTATTACACAATTTTTAATTTACTTTTAAGAAAAACTGTCTCAGACGACTTGCGAGGGCTAGAAACGTAAAAAAAGACTTTTTTTGTTTTTTCGCAAGGGGTTGGTTGTAATTTCAACAGTCTTTTAAGTTACTTTTGCATCTACTCTATTAAAATAGAGTCATTCTCTTTATCTACTGATACAAGTTGTCATTTAAATTTGGACCCTTTCTAGAATGTTACAAATAATATAAGTCATATAATTGATTGAATCGTATTACTTAAATTAAACCAACACAATTAATGTAAAGAGACGACCTTAATGTAAACTACCTTCAAAATATGGCAGGTATCTATGTGTATACCGAAAACACATATTTTCTCCTATAAATATGGAATGTTCTAAAAGAATATATATCATCGAAATATGGAATATGGAAATCTACTAATTATACTTAAATTAAACCAGTGGTTATTTATGGAATATAGAATTGGGCTTACTTTTATTTTCTGAACAAATTATATAGTTTGGTTTTTGGGTTTAGTATTAAGAAAAAAATCTCCAAAAACATTGAATAAACTTTTCACCCTGAAAGACCAAAAATCAATTATTATTTTCAGACTCAAAAGTTATTTAATATTTTTAACAAAAAAAAATTATCTATTATTAATCATTTATTTAAATCATGTACTTTAAAACATGTTAATATATTTTTTATTTTAAATAACAATCACTTTGTTTTGATAAATTTCAATGGTAACTTTTAAATAATTTATTGTTTTATTTTTCTTAAATAATTCACTGATTAAAAAAATGTAAAGCAAAACCAAAAACCAAATCTAAAAACTAAAATCCAAAACCAAAAGCTGAAAACACATGTTATATTTTTTTGCTTTGTTTATTTACAAAATAAACTATTTCAATTTTTTTTTTTAAAACTTTGTTGTCATCTTTTTTCAGTTTTGAATTAGATGTTCGATTATTTGAGATTTGTTTGTTGGTAATATTATTTCAAATTAACTCATCGGGTTTAAAAATTAAAAACCCAAACCAAAAACTGAAAATGAAAAGTAGAAACTTAAAAACTAAAAATCTAAATCTAAAATAATCGAACATCTAATTCAAAACTAAAAAGATGACAACAAATTAAAAAAAAATTGAAATAGTTTATTTTGTAAATAAACAAAGCAAAAATATATAACATGTGTTTTCAGCTTTTGGTTTTGGATTTTAGTTTTTAGATTTGGTTTTTGGTTTTGCTTTACATTTTTTTAATTAGTAAATTATTTAAGAAAAATAAAACAATAAATTATTTAAAAGTTACCATTGAAATTTATCAAAACAAAGTGATTGTTATTTAGAATAAAAAAATATATTAACATGTTTTAAAATACATGATTTAAATAAATGATTAATAATAGATAATTTTGTTTTGTTAAAAATATTAAATACCTTTTGGGTCCGAAAATAATAATTGATTTTTTGATCTTTTAAGATGAAAAGTTTATTCAATGTTTTATAGTTTTTTTCTTAATACTAAGCCCAAAAACCAAATTATATAATTTGTTCAAAAAATAAAAGTAAGCCTAAGACTATATTTCATAAATAACCACTTGTTTAATTTAAATATAATTAGTAGATATCCATATTCCATATTTTGATGATATATATTCTTTTAGAACATTCCATATTTGTAGGAGAAAATATGTGTTTTCGGTATACACATAGATACCTGCCATATTTTGAAGGTGGTTTACATTAAGGTCGTCTCTTTACATTAATTGTGTTGGTTTAATTTAAGTAATACGGTTCAATCAATTATATGACTTATATTATTTGTAACATTCTAGGAAGAGTCCAAATTTAAATGACAACTTGTATCAGTAGATAAAAAGAATGACTCTGTTTTAATATAGTAGAATAAATTTTTCACCTTAAAAGATAAAAAAATCAATTATTATTTTCAGACCCACAAGGTATTTAATATTTTTAACAAAACCAAATTATCTATTATTAATCATTTATTTAAATCATGTACTTTAAAACATGTTAATATTTTTTTATTCTAAATAACAATCACTTTGTTTTGATAAATTTCAATGGTAACTTTTAAATAATTTATTGTTTTATTTTTTCTTAAATAATTTACAGATTAAAAAAATGTAAAGAAAAACCAAAAACCAAAAACCAAATTTAAAAACTAAAATCCAAAACCAAGCTGAAAACACATTTTATAATTTTTGCTTTGTTTATTTACAAAATAAACTATTTCAATTTTTTTTAAAAAATTTGTTGTCATCTTTTCAGCTTTGAATTAGATGTTTGATTATTTGAGATTTGTTTGTTGATAATATTAGTTTAAACTAATTCAGCGGGTTTAAAAATTAAAAAACCCAAACCAAAAACTGAAAATGAAAAGTTGAAACTTAAAAACTAAAAACTAAAAACCAAAATCTAAAAATAAAAACTGAAACTAAAAACTAATGAAAAATAATCATCACCACAAATTTTGGTGAACTGATTTTATATCAAAATATTCTTTAAAGTAAGACAAAACCCAATTATATAAATTTTTAATCATAAAAAATTTCCGCGCTTTAAAGCGCGGGTCAAAATCTAGTAGAGTCATTCTTTTTATCTACTGATACAAGTTGTCATTTAAATTTGGACACTTTCTAGAATGTTACAAATAATATAAGTTATATAATTGATTGAACCGTATTACTTAAATTAAACCAACACAATTAATGTAAAAAACGACCTTAATGTAAACCTTCAAAATACGGCAGATATCTATGTGTATACGAAAAACACATATTTTCTCCTACAAATATGGAATATTCTAAAAGAATATATATCAACAAAATATGGAATATGGAAATCTACTAATTATACTTAAATTAAACCAGTGGTTATTTATGGAATATATTCTTGCGCTTACTTTTATTTTTTGAACAAATTATATAGTTTGGTTTTTGGGCTTAGTATTAAGAAAAAACTCCAAAGAATAAACTTTTCACTTTAAAAAATCAAAAAATCAATTATTATTTTCAGACCCAAAAGGTATTTAATATTTTTAACAAAACAAAATTATCTATTATTAATCATTTATTTAAGTCATGTATTTTAAAACATGTTAATATTTTTTTTTAAATAACAATCACTTTGTTTTGATAAATTTCAATGGTAACTTTTAAATAATTTTTTTTTTTTTATTTTTCTTAAATAATTTACTGATTAAAAAAAATGTAAAGCAAAACCAAAAACCAAATCTAAAAACTAAAATCCAAAACCAAAAGCTGAAAACACATGTTATATTTTTTTGCTCTGTTTATTTACAAAATAAACTATTTCTAAATTTTTTTTCTAAATTTGTTGTCATTTTTTCAGTTTTAAATTAGATGTTCGATTATTTGAGTTTGTTTGTTGGTAATATCAGTTCAAACTAACTCAGCGGGTTTAAAAATTAAAAACCAAACCAAAAACTGAAAATGAAAAGTAGAAACTTAAAAACTAAAAACCAAAAACCAAAATCTAAAAATAAAAACTGAAACTAAAAACTAATGAAAAATAATCATCCACACAAATTTTGGTAAACTGATTTTATATCAAAATATTCTTTAAATTAAGACAAAATCCAATTATATAAATTTTTAATTATAAAAAATTTCCGCACTTTTCAAGCGCCCGCACTTTTCAAGCGCCCGCACTTTTCAAGCGCCCGCACTTTTCAAGCGCCCGCGCTTTTCAAACGCGGGTCAAAATCTAGTTTGATTCAAGTTTGGGTTTACTTTTGCATTTCAAATCAAGTTTTGATTCATATTTGGCAATTTTTCCTTCATAAAATCATAATTCTTCATGAATCTCGTCGAACAAGAAGTGGGAATGTATAAGTTGTACCACAACAATACAATGGATTTACTCAGATGAGCCTCAATTACTTGCTCCATTGAATCGCATTCACTTTCGTATTCAAATCCTAATGTGGTCAAAATTACATCAGAAGGTGGCTAGTGCGTACGATATCCTCTATTAGAATGGCTAACAGAAACCGGAAACGAAGTTGAGCTTTTCGCAAGGTCAGCTTTTGTTAACCGCGGAAGAATCACAGTACCGCCTATGCAATTATGATCAGTACTTATCATCTAGTTAGGACATATGTTATTAACACACTCACATAAGGTGAAAACTCGACGTAGAAAAAATTTCTTAAAACGAAAAACGAAAAGAAAGCACAACCACAACTTCATAATTCTTCATGAATCTCGTGGAATTTGTTAGCTTTCGCGATAGAGAGAAAGCATGTCGTCCTCCATGTATCTACAAAAAAAGAGACGTGAACTGATCTGTAAAAGGCTACAAAAGAAGTGGGTATATGTAATACGTATATAAGATGTTCCAACAATATACAATGGACTTACTCAGATAATCAGGAGTATTAGTTACACGCTTCAATGTATCACATCTACTTTCGTATTCCAACCCTACATCAGGCTGCGCATGATATACTCTATTGTAATGGCTAACAGTAATCTGAAATGAAGTTGAGTTATCTGTCATGACGTCAGCGTTTCTAAACCCCGGAACAACCACACCTCCTTTGCAGTTACCATTATTTTGTGACGGTAAGTCCACAAAGGTCACGTTGTTCAAGCAGTACGTGTTATCGTCGTCAGTGAAAGAAATAAAGCCGTGTTGTGTTTCTTTCGCATTAGCACCCAAAGTGCTCACCAGTGTTTCTTGTCTGGTCCATAACCACGCTAATTTCCATGGCGAGAATATTCTGTCGTTATCCTTGAAATAGTTGGAGATTGTGACATCAGCCGAGTAGCTACCATCACTTTCATTCGTCATGTCCCACTTTATTTCCACAATCACTTGTGGACCCGCTGAGAGAAAAACCAAAGACATAAATCGTGGTATTGGATTTGGATTGCTTCTCCGTTACCATACATAGCTAAGACTTATAACAGTTATATTGTGAATAAAAACGAAAATAATCAAAAATAAAGAAAGATCGAAGAGTATAGGAATCTTTTAAGAATCTTGTGAGAAACCTATTAAAATATAGTTTAGATACACAGGTAAATTGGATTAAAATCTACTATATTGTTTTTGTTTTAGCCATCTGCACTGATAATCTATCAAGAAGATTCCTTTAGCAAAAAATAATGATATTTAAAATCTTAAAAGACTTATGGTAAAAGCCTCTCAAGAGATTTCCAATGGAAATGACCTAAGGTTCTATGCAAATGCAATAAATGTCTTCTTAGCTATAATAACAAATAGTTTTTACCTCTAGGAGCAAGGTTATTGGATTTGACTCGATATCTCAAATCCTTGACAGGCCTCCTCAGTCTGCGCCATGGTAAAGTCACCCGATAATAACAACCCTCTGATGTATCTTTCAGAAACTCAATCTCATTACAAGAAAGATCTTCTTTATCCAACGATAAACACAATGAAGCCTCCACTAAAACCAAGATCAGAAAGATCACTTTGGTTGCTGAATATGCACTACACATGGCTAGCTAGACACTATATCATATGGCTTTTAAGCTCGATCTAGAAACGATCTCTTGTTTAGTCTTATATATTTGGGAAGAAGTTCGATCTCATCACTTTTCTAATGAGGTTTTAATGAGGACATGCTCTTAACAAGATTGAGCAAAGTATCCGCCGGGATGATATCAAAGTAACAGTTTTCTTTTCAATATATAATTTCAATATTTATTAATTTTACGTCTAACTCTGATGTTTGTGTCGAAAAATAACAAAAAGTCTTGAGGATAAAGATTATCGTAACACTTCATAGTTTTTACACAAAACTCGCTCGAAATAGTACGAGTAAAAAATGGTTAAAAGCTCTCGTTAAAAGCCTAAATTTATCCTATAATAACTAATCCCATACCGGATTCTCCGGTTTGATAGATATTTTTGTAAAACTCGACATCTCTTCCCTACACATTCACTACTTTACAGTTTACATGCAACAAAGACCTCATGTTACTCAGCAACATCGTTTCTAATCACCAGCGACTTCACAGCCTCAGCAACAACAATATCAGCCTCAAGAACAACTTCAACAATTGAGATCTCCACACCAGCCTTTACCTCACCCACATCAACCTGCCCGTGTCCAAGGGAAAGTAAATTAAATCAAAAAGCTACTTCTCTCTGGCAATGCCAACCCAACCTCCTGTGCCCCAACCAGGGAACCAAGTTAAAACTGTTTCAGCTGAGAATGTGGAGTCTGATGATCACATCCTGGGAAAATGAAGCATCCATGAGCTACTTCAGCAGGTATCCAAAGGCATGCCTTGGTGACTTTGATAAACAGATTCAGCTATATAACATTTATCTCTAGTTATATGGACGGCTCCTTTGATGTTCTGCACTCAAGTTCCCTGCATGATATCCATTGATGTTTTTTTTTCTCTCTGAATTTAGTATGCCTTTACTATCCACAAATTGATCCGTCAGAGAAATTGGATCCAGAGGTTGAAAACATTCTTTAGCCAAACATAGAAAGTCAGACACTCTAGAGGCTAAGGACATCGCTTGCTCCATGTTGGGTAGTTCTGAATGTTATTGTATGCCCGTTTCTTTTGATATCTGTTTCCAAATACAATGTTTAATTTCGTTTTGGTATTGTCTTTTCCTTACATGTAGAAAGAAACTGGAATATAAGAACTGACCTGACCCGCCAACATGCATCCCTTCAACACCGAGGTCTTCAGAACATTCCTTTCTCTGATTGTCCAACGTCAAACCCTCAAGGCTGCAAAAAATAAATAAATTAAGGAACCTATACAAAAAATGTATTCCAACACCAAGTCCCTGTCTGCTTGTCATGAACGTTATCCCTTTCCATTTGGCAACATAGTGAACCTGCAACACAATCTCTTTAGGTTAAGCATCAAAGCTTGTAATACACGTAAGCTCTTTTAACATGTCGAGAGTTAACAAGAAAACGTATTCACAACCGTACTTCGACCTGAGATCCTTGCAAAGCCTCTGCTCCATTGCCAGCTTTTATATGATAGTACCTGCAAATGGTTTGAAGGTTTTGGGTTTTACAACGTTAGGAATGTTTTCTCAACTATTTATGAATGCATCATGATCTTGGTGTATAGTAAAGGAGAAATGTAGTAATGTACTGACTTGAGACGGCGTGGTGTTCCAACAGACGCGGCTACTCCTTGTCGGAGCGATTTTTAACTTGGCTGGTGAAAAAGTTTCAATTTTATTTATTTTGACTGTACAAGAAGTGGTCCAATCAGTTTACAATCATGTAAATCAATTTAAATTTTTTTTTATTAATAATAGTTTTTTTTAAAAAACTCTTTGCATGCTGATGAGTAATCTACCTATCTATACTACTATTTGCAAATTGATTTTTGTATCAGATTTTTGAGAGTTATAAAGGTTAATATCATTAATATTCTTAATGAATAATTAATACTTTTAATGAATAAAATATATAAATTATCCAAAAAATATTTTTCACATCTGAACTCTCACATTAAAAATTAGATTGGTCAAAACTACTTATACTCTTACTGAATAAAATATATAAATTACTCAAAAAATAAAAATTAAAACTTTTATTTATTTAAATAGATAAATGATTAAAATAAATAAGAATAAAAATTATTCAAAATCTAAAAATATATTTTAGAGTTAAAAAATAATTGTTATATATGGTGTCATTATCTGAAAAATACATTTTAATTAAAAAATTTACAAATTCAAAAACATAAAATATATAGCTAAACATTAATTAAGTAAAATTCTTAATTTTAGAGTACTGAAAAATAATAGTAATTGATTTTAAAAATATTTATTAATAATAAATAAAATCTACAATTAAATTTAAAAAATATAACGTAAAAAATTAAATGAAATATAAATAATAATTTATTATTATAGTATTTAATTAATAACAAATATATTAATAAGTAATTATAAAGTGTTTAGGTCTGCATATGCGGACGAAACATCTAAATTTAATGTAGTAATTTGATTAAGAATTTATTAATAGTTTAACACCAAAAAATCTATAACACCGGCATAGTGTGATGCAACATCAGATGAATTCTTATAAAATATTTAAATTTATGGATTGTAAATTTTTTTGTTTCTTAGTATGATGATTATGTAACATCTTCGTGATCAAAAAAAATTCATTATAGAAAAAAATCAGTAGTTCATATAAAAAAGTAAAATAAATCAGTGTAAAAGTTATTTACTATAAATTTTTTTTATAGATTTTTTTTCTTTTAGGTTTAACCACCACATAACCAACAACTTCGTACAAAATCTGGGTAGAAGACTCGAACCAAAGTAAATTAAAATTAAATTGGATTCAATCAAGTGGAGGTAGCCGAAATTAGGACATAATTTATTTATTACCAGACTCGCATAAAGTGAAAATTCGTCATAAAACAGAAAAAACGAAAAGAAAAAAAAACAGCTTCATAAATCATAAATCTTCATGAATCTCGTGGAACTTGTTAGCTTTGGCAATGGAGAGAATGCACGTCGTCCTCCATGTATCTAAAGAAAAAAAAAGGGACATGAATTGATCGTAAAAAGCTTACAAAAGAAGTGGGAATGTATAAGTTATACCACAAACAATACAATGGACTTACTCAGATGAACATCAATTTCTTGCTCCATTGAATCACATTCACTTTCGTATTCAAATCCTCCTGTGGTCAAAGTTACATCAGAAGGTGGCCGTTACTCACGATATCCTCTATTAGAATGGCTAACAGAAACTTGAAACGAAGTTGAGCTTTTCGCAAGGTCAGCTTTTGTTACCCGCGGAAAAATCACAGTACCACCTATGCAATTATGATCAGTACTTTGTCGCGGTAAGTCCACAAAGGTCACATTGTTCAAGCAGTACGTGTCGTCGTCGCCTTTACCGAAAGAAACAAAACCGTGTTGTGTGCCTTCATAACCCAAAGTGCTCAGTAGTGTTTCCCTTTTGACCCATATAAATGCTAATTTCCATGGCTGTTCAATTTGGTGATCCATCACGTAGTTGGAGATTGTGACATTAGCCGAGTAGCTACCATCACTTTCATTTGTCATGTCCCACTTTATATCCACATTAGCGTCTTGATAAAAGACCAGATCTGAAATTTTAGGGTCATCAATATTTTTTTTGTGTTCGTCTTTAGTGAAAGAAAAATCAACAATAGTAGACCATTCAATCTATATAGTATTTTTTATTCTGATAAAAAAATGTATTCTCTTTTTATTTGCATATTTTGGTTTAGTATACAGAGATGAAGACATTTACATTCATTTAAAAGGTATTTCTATAGATACAATTTTAAAATCATTCAATATAAATTATAAAAAAATATTGTAATGTTTTATTGGAACAATTTAAAGTAAAATTAAAACTAATCTTAAAATCTCTAAATTAAAATCTCAAAATATCTTATATTTTGAAACAATATAAACCATCTAAAACATCATATAAAAAGAAACGCAAGGAAGGAGTAGTATTTTTTCATAAATTTTTGAAAACGAGTGGTTTATATATATGGTTGTGACTTGTGTCCATATGCCCGGTTGTGAGAGTCTGAGAGAAAACAAAAACAAATCATGGTACAGTATTGTATTATTGTAATTCCTTCACTGCTATCATCCGTAAGAGATTCATTCAGCTTTATAGTTTAAGAATTAGACAATATATAGCTTTACCTTTATGAGCGAGGGTATTCGATTTGACTCGAGATTTGAAATCCCTCATCTGGCCGTGCCTTGATATAGTCGCCCGATGATAACGATCCTTCAATATCTGTATCCTTAAATCAGTGAAATTAAAAGAAGAATAATCTTTTCTCAAACGATAGACCCCATGAAGCCTCCACCAAAACCAAGAAAAAGAGAAAGAGCACTTTGGTTGTTGAATATGCACTACGCATGGTTGTTAAACCCGGCCCCTATATATGTTATATGATCTCTTGTTTAGTCTTGTATATGTTAGGAAGTTTGATCTCACTTTTCTTATTAGGTTTAATGATGACATGTTACTAACAAGATTGATATCAAAGTATCCGGGATAAGATTAAGTAACAGTTTTTTATTTTAAATATATAATTTTGATATCTATTAATTTTACGTATATATAACACTGATTTCTGTTATATAGTTTTCGAAAATAACAAAAAGTCTTGGAGATTAGATTAACGTAATATTGCATAGTGTTGGAGCCTAACATAAGTAAAGTATCTTATCACTTTATGGGATTGAATTGATTCAATGTTTTTGCAGAGCACATATATGTACGAATAGAGATGAGAAGTTGTTTTGAACCAATTTTCAAAAAAAAAAAAAAAAAAAAAACTGTTTTGAATCAGTTAAACAGATTCTTCGGATACAATCATGGACAAGGTCAAGTCCTTTCAGAACATTCCCTTTCTCTGATTGTCCAACGTCAAACCCGTAAGGCTGCAAAACAAATTCTTGAGCTTATCAGTTAAGGATAGTCGCATATTCAAGTACACAGTAATGGCCTAATATGGGTTCTTGCGTGATCGTCTTAGTACAGACCGTTCCACTTCCAACACCAAGTCCCTGTCTGCTTGTCATGAACGTTACCCCCTTTCCATTTTACAACATAGTGAACCTGCAACACAATCTCTTTCGGTTAAGCATCAAAGCTTGTCATACACGTAAGCTCTTTTAACATGTCGAAAAGTTAACAAGAAAATGTATTCACAACCGTACTGCGACCCGTGATCCTTTTACAGCCTCTACTGCGATCCATTACCAACTTTTATATCATAGTACCTGCAACAAATTTGAAGTTTTGATTTCTATAACATTAAGAATGTTCTCAGAAACGCAAAATATTCAAGTATTTATGAATGCCTCATGATCTTGGTGCATAGCAAGGAAGAAGTGTACGGACTTGAGACCATTCGGAAGAGCCGTGAATTCGCTTTCCGGTATCTCAGATGCTCATAGCTGCAGAGATTTGTATGTAAGAGAGTGACCTGTGTCAAGAACAAGCATACTGTACGTAAGAGAGTGACTTGAGTTAAGAACACGCATACTCTATGTATGCTTACAGCTCTTCAGCTGGTGCTTACGGCCTCGGCTGAATCACTTAACTGCATTCCAGACATTTATTGAAAGCTCGCTTTAGTGTACTTGATGGAAGAGTAGTAAAGGAAGAGAGAGGGTGAAGAAGTTTCATTGTTAAGATCATTGCTTGTGTGGCACGTAAACAGATTGGTTCTTGTGTCTGAGTGAAATAAACTTTCTCATTCTTGTCTTTCTTCTTCTTCTTGAGTTTGAGCTCAACTGTGTGTTCGAGAGAGAGAGAGAGGAACAAGAAAAGGGATAAAACTGGTATTCTCATCCACAAATTTCAGATCCTCTCACCGTTACACCCACACTTAACGTCGTTAGACACTTAAACAAAATAAAGTGTTAATGGTGTGTAATTAATTATTATTAGTTAGAGGGGGAATAAACCTAAAGGACGGCGAATTAAAATAACTACAAGTGGTTTTTAGAGGAATTAAAGTGGTACCACCCTATTTTCCACTATGGTAATGTTCCATACAATGCAAAAAATAAACACAAACAAGTATATTTTAATAATCGCAGAGAAACAAAAATATCAAGCATGACTTCATATGAGTTTTCATTACAACTTGGGAGTACTAGACTGGATGATTTCACCCTTATCACATGTGATGCTCCTACAGGAAGTCCTCTCAATAGAGAAAGTGCCAAAATAGTAACTTGTTTTCTTGTTAAAGATCGTGATCGTTCTCTTCTGTATCACACAAACAATACGGACATGTCACAACATCAATTATATTTGAAAAGATTCTCTAGAAAATTTTCAGTTAAGAAGTATATTCTTTTTTTATTTACCAATAACAGTTCTACAAGAAAAAGTATAAATGAAATCACTATAGAGAGTAGGATTCTGTTTTTTTCCACAAGAGAAGATTACATGAGTAATTTTACAGAGTCAGAGAAAAAAGAATGCTTACAAAACCTCTATTTAATATCTAGGAGATGACTGGATCTAGATGTACATGTACATAATATAGTATATACTAACAAAAATAGGATATATATCTAGTCTAATAAATAACTACATGTTTGAAATATAACCACTCTGGGTGAACTGTGAAAAGTATTTATTTTTTATTTATTATCTATTGAATGAATGTAAAAAAAATTGAGCCAAAAACCTTTTTTACATCAAGTGCTACTGTTTTGTATGTGTATGAATCAAAAATGAAAATGAAAAGATCAATCCTCTAGTTACATCAAGTGCTACTGTTTTATGCCGCGATTTATGAATTTGAAAAGTCTTTAAACTTGTCTTAAACCCCTCCTCCTAACAAAAGTTTCAGCTTATTTCACAACAAGTTATCAAGGTTGTATGGCTGTAAGAGAGAACAAAAATGAAAATAATGTTATTTCAATATCTTTATTTTATAATAAAATATCTCACTAAATATATACATTGACGTATTAACCACACATAACACGTGTTATTTCATAAAACACATTAATAAACCCAAAAAAAACTATAATATTGTATGGCCAAAAAAAGAGAAAAACCACTATACACTAATAATAAATAATGGACTCAACAATAAAAATATAAACAAAGACTATTATAATTCTCCTCCTTATAAATAACTTTTGCCGTAAGTCTTTTAAAACCAAACCACTCTCAGATACTTTTGTTGCCGCCGTCACCACCTACCACTCTCTCTCTCCCCCTCTCTCACAAAACATAACCTCCATGGATTCCGTCAAGCTTCAAACGGCTCCTCCCTCTCTCCACACCAAAATGCTACCTCATCACCTCCACCACATTCCCTTACCTCCTCGCAACTTCCGGTCAAAACCGGTTATCGGAATCACCACCACTCGATCTCGGCCCCACGTGTCACCAGTGGCTGTTCTTTTCCGTGAGGAAACCTCTCTGGCTCCTCTTGATTCTCCTTCTCCTCCTCTGCCACGTCTCAAAGTCTCTCCGAGCTCTCTGCAGTACCCGCCCGGTTACCTCGGCGCGGTTCCGGATCCCACGAGCGGCGACAACGATAGCGGAAGCATCGTGGAGGCTATGGAGTATCTGACGAGTATACTTTCCACTAAGGTTTATGACGTGGCGATTGAGTCGCCACTTCACTTGGCTAAGAAGCTGTCGCAGAGGCTTGGTGTTCGTATCCTTCTCAAAAGAGAAGACTTGCAACCTGTAAGCTTCACTAATTTAACATCCAAAGGTTACACCTTTATTTGTTTTTTTTTTACCGAACCACATCACTATTACATTGAAAGGTTATGTCTTTATTTGATTTTCGCTGAACCCTTATGATATTGAGGCTAGATTTAAGTGATGCAACCTTTAAGCATCGCTATTACATTGAAAGATTATACCTTTGGTTGATTTTTGCTGAATCATGTATGAAATTGAGGCTACATTTAAGTGACACAATCTCTAAGCATCATTATTAGCATCCAAAGGTTACACCTTTATTTTATTTTTTTGCTGAACCGCATCACTATCACATTCAAAGGTTGTAGCTTTAGTTATATTTAGCTAACCCCTGTATGATACTGAGGCTACATTTAATTGATACAACCTCTAAGCATCACTATTATATTAAAAGGTTACACCTTTATTTGATTTTTTTTTGCTGAACCGCATCACTATCACGTTGAAAAGTTGTACCTTTGGTTATATTTAGCTGAACCCTGTATGATATTGAGGCTACATTTAAGTGATGCAACCCCTATTACATTGAAAGGTTATACCTTTGGTTGATTTTTACTGAATCATGTATGAAACTGAGGCTAGTGTGTGTGTGTTTGTGATGGTTAAGGTTAAGTCGTTTAAGCTTCGTGGAGCTTACAACATGATGGTGAAGCTTACAGCAGAGCAATTAGCAAAAGGGGTGATCTGTTCCTCAGCTGGAAACCATGCTCAAGGAGTTGCTATGTCTGCTGCTAAGCTCGGCTGCACTGCTGTGATTGTTATGCCTCGTACAACCCCTGAAATCAAGGTATTTGTATTATCTCTTTGTATCCTTGCTTCATCTGAAGTTAGTATCTGATTTGTCTTTAAAAAAAACAGTGGCAATCTGTGGAGGACTTGGGTGCTACAGTTGTTCTTATTGGAGATTCATATGATGAGGCGCAAGCATTTGCTAAGCAACGAGCTGAAGAAGAAGGTTTGACGTTTATACCTCCTTTTGATCACCCGGACGTTATTGTTGGACAAGGGACTGTTGGTATGGAGATCACACGGCAAGCTAAAGGTCCGTTACATGCTATCTTTGTCCCCATTGGTGGTGGTGGTTTGATAGCTGGTATTGCTGCTTATGTGAAGAGAGTTTGTCCTGAGGTATGTGTGCACTCTTTTGTACTCATTGTCACAACTTCTGTCACCTTATTGTGGCTTTTGTTTGGGTTATGCAGGTGAAGATCATTGGTGTAGAGCCAGCTGATGCAAATACAATGGCGTTGTCATTGCATCATGGTGAGAGAGTGATACTAGACCAGGTTGGGGGTTTTGCAGATGGAGTAGCAGTTAAAGAAGTTGGTGAAGAGACTTTTCGTATATGCCAACAGCTGGTGGATGGTGTTGTTCTCGTCACTCGTGATGCTATTTGTGCATCAATAAAGGTAAAGTTGTTATCCCTTTTGTGAAACGGTTTATAGAAACTGCATTCTTGTGGATAAATCATAGACTTGTTTGTCTCTACAGGATATGTTTGAGGAGCAAAGGAACATATTAGAACCAGCAGGTGCTCTTGCCCTCGCTGGAGCTGAAGCATACTGTAAATACTATGGCTTAAAGGACGTGAATGTTGTAGCCATAACCAGTGGCGCAAACATGAACTTTGATAAGCTGAGGATTGTGACAGAACTCGCCAATGTCGGTAGGCAACAGGAGGCTGTTCTTGCTACTCTCTTGCCGGAAAAGCCTGGAAGCTTTAAGCAGTTCTGTGAGTTGGTGCGTGTTTGGTATTACAGCATGTAGGAGTTAATCACATTACAGAGCGCATCTAATTCATTTGAGTGATGCAGATTGGACCAATGAACATAACTGAGTTCAAGTATAGATGTGGCTCTGAAAAGGAAGCTGTTGTACTATACAGGTAAGTCTGTTTCTTGAAAAACAAATCCTTCTTTTGTTGTTATTGAGTCCTCTAATCCAGACAGTTTTGTGTATTGATGCTTAGTGTTGGAGTGCACACAGCTGGAGAGCTCAAAGCACTGGAGAAGAGAATGGAATCTTCTCAACTCAGAACTAAGAACCTCACAACCAGTGACTTAGTAAAAGATCACCTGCGTTACTTGGTGCGTTCCCTTCAGTCCATAACTCTTATTGCTTGATGCAAGTTTGTTATGTAAATCACAACACTTTGTATATTTTTTAGATGGGTGGAAGATCAAGTGTTGAAGAAGAGGTTCTATGCCAATTCACTTTCCCTGAGAGACCTGGTGCTCTGATGAACTTCTTGGACTCTTTCAGTCCACGTTGGAACATTAGTCTTTTCCATTACCGTGCAGAGGTTTATTCCTGACCTCATCATTTGTTGTAACTTTTGAGGCTCCTTGTCACCACTATACAATGTTTCTTTCTTTCAAAACAGGGTGGAGCAGGCGCGAATGTGCTGGTGGGGATCCAAGTCTCTGAGCAAGAAATGGAGGAATTTCGAAACAGAGCTCAAGTTCTTGGATACGAGTACGTCTTGGTAAGTGAAGACGCTATCTTCAACCTTTTAATGCACTGAGTTTGGAGCTGTGATGGAGAGACCAAAACCGAGTAAGTGGAAGAACACATCAGAGTCTTTCTTGTGTCCACGGTTCTTCTTGAGCTCCTGTGGCAACCTATATTTCCCACGAGCTGTCATAGCTATGGTAGTATGTTATCGACGTTGGATACCTTTCACAAATAATATGAGGCTAACCTTCAATAAAACTGGCCATTTTGTATGTATAAAAGTTAGCTATCTATGAAACAATGTTTAAGGCCGTGGGTAATATAAAATTCAGATTATGAAATTGTTTAAGATACCTTACAAAATGCTGAAAAAGCACTACTATCTAATTATTTTTGTTAGTTAAATAAAGATGTTAAAGGTTGACAAGAAAATAAAGATGGTGGAAATATTTTGGTAGAATCTTTGCTAATAATAAACCAATTTAAAATATTTCAAGAATAAGCTTTGGGCTGGGCAAATAAACCGAACCCGAAAACGATCCGATAAAAATGAATCCGAACCGATCCAAACCCGATTTAAACACCAAATGGATCTTGTTTTTTGGTATTTCGGGTTATGGGTATTATCCGAACCAAAATTAAATGGATATCCGATAGAACCCGAAACATTCAAAAATTTTAATAAGAATGTGTACCGAACATGATCTTAATTCTTAATATATATCAAAATATTTTAAGATATTACTAAACATCTAAAATAATTATCTATTACATGAAGGTTGATGGTTGAAGATGGCGTTTTTCGATTAAGGTTTTGTTATTACTGAATAATGTTTCTCATTCTTTAAGAACTTGGTTTTCGTTTTATGCTTTCATTTATTTGGTTTTCTTTCTATTAATAACTATGTTTACCTTTCATTTGATTTTGAATGATCAAATTTGATGTTCCTTTCTTATTTTTGAATCAATTTTACTTATGTTTTGGTTATAAAATAGTTACACATTAGGTACTTTAATCTGAAGAACCAATTTTACTTATGTTTTGGTTACAAAGTAGGTACAAATCAAGTATTTTTAAACCAAAGAACCGATTGGGATCCGAATCCGAAAGTATAACGGGTTGTACCGGTTTTTTAAAGATTTACTAACCCCGACCCGAACCCGATAGAACCCGAACTGATCCCGAACCGAACTTTCAAATAATCCGAATGAGACTCATTTTGATAAACCCGAAGAACCGAGACCCAATTGGACAAAACCGAAACCCGAATAGGACCCCGAACGCCCATGCCTAAATAAGCTATATCTCATCTCTACATAATTGGTGCTGTAAATTGTAATAGTGCATCTTTTATTAAGTAATTACGTTTAGAAAATGAAATGTATACACTTGTCAATTACTATATTTCGATTGTGAGTTCAATTGAAAAACAAAATATCTGGAAAACTATTGGATTTATTGTCACAGACATATAAAACGGTGGCCAGAAAAAGTAGCTCCATTGTATTTCCAAAATCAGCGACTGGCTTGACTTGAATTAAAAAGGAATGATAATAATATTATTCAAGTCAAGCCAAAACCAAGTGGCTGTTTTTTTTTAGAAAGGTAAGTGGAAGTCAGTGTCGAGAGCTATGGTGGAAAAAGGCTTCTCTGTTCCTCCGCAACAGTGCGAAGACAAGTTCAATGACTTGAACAAAAGATACAAAAGAGTCAACGACATTCTCGGGAAAGGGACAAGAAGAGCAAGAAGAGGAGGAGAGGGGCCGTGAAGTGTATGAGAGAAGAGATGGCGCGTGTGTTGGATGATCATGGGAAGAGCACGTGGGAGAAGAAGGCGTTGGCGGTGGAGAAGAGGAAGGTTGGGTATGAGTGGGAGGCGGTGGAGATGGAGAAGGAGAGAGTGAAGTGGATGAAGGCTAAGATAGAGAACCAGAGACGGGTGCTTGAGACGGAGAGGGTGGTTTTGATTCTCCGGCGAAGGGAGATTGAGTTGCAGTCGTTGGGTAAGCGGGTTGAACCGAGTTCTGCAACGGGGTGATGTGATTAGGGTTAGGATTATGATGTTTTGAGTTAACATTCATGTATATAAGTATTTCAGTTCTCGAGGATGTTTAGGATTATCAAACTCTCGACTTAATCAGCAAAGTCATTTTTTTTATAAGTAAAGTCGAACTCATGTATCTATCTCTCGCATCAATGATGAAAATTGAAAAGTTACAAACGCTTTATCCATTAGGCAAAGGTTTTCAGAGTTGTTTAAGGACACCAAGACAAAAACAAAAAATATTAGCACACCCGGTGGGACTCGAACCCACAATCGTTTGATTAGAAGTCAAACGCCTTATCCATTAGGCCACGGGTGCTCCTGATTGCTTAATAATCTTTGATGCTTATATCTTCATTTTCAGGATAGTGAGTTTTATGTTTTGCTCATTATACAAGCAAAGAATCTAGTTAATATATGTAAGAATAATCTCTGTTAGACATAACTTGAAAGTTGAAACAGGTTGGAAGAAAAGTTCACAAACCTCTCTGAACTTGGTATCTACTGTTTTTAAACGAAACCATCAACCTCATCATAAGTAACTTTCGTAAGTAAGCCTTATTCTTAGTGGGTCGAGCCAAGTAAAAAGCAGACAAAGGTGGTCCAGGTTAAATAATGTTTCACCGGTCCGAACGGATAATTACTAGATTATGTTAAGAAGATAAAACCAAAATTTAGAAAATAAAAATAAAAAAATGAGACGTGTCTTGTAATGTACGAGAAAGACAAAAAAGAAGGTGATGTGAATCTTAACTCTTAATTAGATACATGTCCCCTCCCTTCTTATCCTCACTCACCTCACTCTTTATATATAATAAACACTCTTCTCCTCAAGGGCATAGAAACGCACGCATAAGAGGTATTGATGAAGACAGTATCGGTGGACGAAACCAAGAACACGGTGGTGCTACGAGCTGAGCACCGGGACGAGGAAGGTCGAAAAGCTGTCGATAAATTCGAGTTAAAGACTCGAAACCCTGACACGATCAAGCAAGTGGAGAAGAAGCTGATGGAGAAAGGCGTCCAACGGATGGAGAGACACCCTTCCGACGGGACTCAGATCAGACGTCCGCCGCCGAAGTCAGGTCACGGTGGGAAGTACACGTGGGAGGGGTCTGATAAGATGGAGGATTACGAGATGCAGCCGGATCCTCCGGCGATGGACGAAGGTGATCCTAATTACGACGAGGAGAAGATCGGTGGTGATGACGTGGCGGTGGAGGTAGTGAAAGGTGAGGTTGAGGTGGCGAAGGAGGCGCCGGGAGGTGTGGGTAGGGTGGAGGTTGATCCTCGCTTGATCAGTACTGCTTGAGTTGGTAGGACAAGTAAGGAAGTGTTGGGGCGAATGTGAGAAGGGAGTGAAACTTTGGGGGGTTTGATTTAAAATATGAGTAGCGACGTTTTAATGTATTGTTGACGTGGTGGAATGCTATTTGTGTAAAGAAATAATATATATTAATCTTATAGATCAGTCAACAGACTCGTCAAGTTCTAAAAAAAAAAAAAATTTGGAACACGCAATTTACTCCATAATCTACTGTAAAATGGAGTGAGAAATAGAGTGATGAAGAAACAAAAAAGTGATTACTCCAAATATGAAGTAGTGAGATTTTTGTTTTTTCATTACTCCATTCTCCACTTCATTTTGCAGTAAAATATGAAGTGGGGTTGGAGAGCAGTGATATTCATGTGCAGAAGAGATATTCATGTGCAGAAGAACTTAAGCCTTTCCCCTTAACCTCTCGGGCAAACCGGCTTCTATTTTATTCATTGTTTATTTTATATTATACATGTTTACTTTGGGCCCAATACATATTTGATTATTTATTTTTTAAAAAATCTAAAGAATGAAAATTAGCAAAATAAATCACTACAAAAAAACGCGGGCATAACGACCACAGATATAGAGGTAATTTGGTAGTAAATCGATTTTTACGACCACAGGACAACGAAAACCGTTTAGTCGTAAACAGCCCGTCGTAATAAAGTTTTGGTCGTAATATGGACTTAACTAATACGACTAAAAATATTGGTCGTAACACAAACGTAAACAGAGTGGTTGTACTCTGGATGTGGATTTGACGTAAAGTTACGTCCAATCAGTTGGATGTTATGTGGTCGTAAATCTTGGTCGTAAAGTGGAAGCAAAATTCGATGTAAAATAGTATTTAAATAGAGGTAACGTGTACGACCACATTACCTCGATTCTTGAATAATGGACACAACTTGGTCGTAAAATGTACGACCAGATAAATTCAATTTGATTTATTTAATACGACCAAATAATCTCTATATAATAAAAAATCACTTTTAAAATCCACAAATTTAAAATTTTTAATTTACGAAATTTAATATTTAATTAAAAATCATTCATTTCAAAAATAAATTTAACTTAATATATCCAAAACATAATAAAAATATATATTCAAATTACATAAGAAAACTAATTAATTATTAAGATTAATGTCTGCGAAAAAGTCGGTGCTATGTTCATCGACTCCTCGCTCTGCATTTGCTCGTTCTTCTGGAGTCAGAAGCATTTTGGCTTCTCGCTGCGTGGTTTCTTAATCTCTTTCTCCCGGCCATATCTGCATATTCAAATAAAAATTATGATTAATTAGAACAATTAATTCCAAAATAATTTTAAAATTAAAGTAATTAAATACTAATTATTTAATATAAATATTCTAATATTTAATATAATTATTCCAATTCCACCTAATCTAATTAATTACCACCTAAACTAACCAACTAAACTTAATTCCAAAATAATTTTAAAAGTAATTAAATACTAATTATTTAATATAAATAATATAATCCCGTGCTAAATCAATTCCAAACCTAATCTAATTACNACCTAAACTAACCAACTAAACTTAATTCCAAAATAATTTTAAAAGTAATTAAATACTAATTATTTAATATAAATAATATAATCCCGTGCTAAATCAATTCCAAACCTAATCTAATTACCACCTAAACTAACCACCTAAACTAACCACCTAAACTAATTACCACCTAAACTAAAACTAAAACTAAAACCGAAAAAAAAAAACATACCTGAGGAGAGGGAAAGTGGTGGGTAGTGAGAGAGAGTTGTGAGCGACGAAGTGAGCTCTGCTCGACGAGTTTATATAGGGAATTACCTTTGGTCATAATGTAGTTGTAACCTACTTCTAGATTACGACCAAAATCACATTACCACCAGTTAGGGACCACGCGTTACGACCACTTCGGGACTAATAGTGACGACATTACGACCAATTAGATTCTATCTCGGTTTACGACCACTTCGGAACTAAATATTACTTCTACATTACCACCAATTAAATTCTATCAAGATTTACTACCACTTTGGGACTAACAATTACTTCTACATTACGACCAATTAAATTCTATCAAGATTTACTACCACTTTGGGACTAACATTTACTTCTACATTACGACCAAAGAAGGTCAACTTTAACCATTACATCTCATTTACCACCAAAAGAATGTCATGAAAAAAAATAATCCTAAGACATGTATAAATAACTTAGAAAAATTTCCTATAGAAATATTTCAAATCTATGGGAACATTTGTCCAAGTTATTTTTACAAATATCTTAGGCAAACATAACTAAATAATATGTTTTTAACAAAAAAAATATTCCTAAGACATGTATAAATAACTTAGACAAATTTCCTATAGAAATATTTCAAATCTATGGGAACATTTGTCCAAATTATTTTTACAAATATATTAGGCAAAAACTAAATATTTTTTTTTTTTTTAAATGGTGTTTTGATTTTTAAAGAAAGAGATGTTTGTGTTTTGATGTACAATTTCGAATGGAACTTGGTTATTTATAGGGAATGTTTACGACCAAGGAGGGACTAACTGTTACCACCAAAAGGTGACCAATATATAAAATATATATATGTTACTGCCAGCCTGGGACCACCCGTGTATTACGACCAGAAAGGGACCAGAATTAAGACCAATAAGGGACGAATATATAAAAAATATATATATATATTACGACCAGCCTGGGACCACTTGTGTTTTACGACCAAAAAGGGACCAAAATTAAGACCAATAAGGGACTATATATATAAAATATATATATATTACGACCAGCCTGGGACCACTTTTGTTTTTACGACCAAAAAGGGACTACAGTTGTCTAAACCCTATATGTCCGAAACCTCAAACCCCAAACTTCTACTCTAAACCTCATTAATATATCATCTAAACCCTATGTCCTAAACCCTAAACCCCAAACCCTAAACCCTAAACCCTAAACCCCAAACCCCAAACTTCAATATAGCAGAAAAAATCTTATTTAATATTTGAAATATTAAAACTTTAAAAGTATTAACACAAAACTTCAAAAACATTAATACAATACAAATTACATATGTTATTGCTCATCATGATCATCTTCTGAACCATCATCTATTTCATCATTTTCTTCAAATTCATCTTCGCTGCCTTCATCCGCTAAGTCATCTGGAAGATCTTCATATCCTAGGTTTTGAGGATCAACAAGTAAAATTTCATCAACAGGTTGTTCAGGCACTGCAACTTCGTTGACCGCATCTGAGGGATGATTGATCTCGCCGTCCTTCTGAGTATGTTCTGCATGCCATCATCGCTGCCGCAGTCTTTTCAGATTGATATAATCTCTTCAGCCTATCTGTAATAGGTAAGTACCATATCCGCTGGTACGGTACCCTAGTTCGTCCACGTCCTTGCGGTTTATATCGTGGCTTCTTACAAAATCGACACTCCAACAACTCTGCATCTTTCCTCCAGAAGATCATACAGTTGTCTATACAGACATCTATCATCTCTGAAGGTAAACCAAGACTATGAACCAGTTTCTGAATCTCATAATAAGATTCAGCACTCACAT